AGAGTTTCCACTGAAAAGTCCCAAAGCCTATGGCCTCTACAGCATCTTCTACCATGAATGTGTCTGAAGAGATGAGAAATATGGAAATCTTGAGGCCATATGCAAGATCTTACTAGAGTATGAGCCTAACAGGGAAGTATAGGAACTAGGAGTCAAAACATTTGCTTGAGAAAAATGGAGCCCTGCCATACTGTACCATCAGTCGGATTGGCAAACTCCCGAGGAACTGGAGCTCCATCAGCAAGTGCCACTGACTCCAGATCAGTCTGCTCTGCGATCTTGACAACCTGTTCTCTATTCTCGCCATCATCCTCAGAGCGTGTGCTCTCACCTGTCCGACGGAAGCAGACAACACTACAAGAAAAAAAAGATTTAAAACATTTTTTAAAGCCTAGAATGACTAACATATCTACAATATGGCTGGTCCAATGAATTTCAGGAGCCCAGTGCTACTGTAGGTACAAATGAGAGTCGAGGGCCGTTGCCTTGGTGATATGAGCTTTTTCTGGCTGTGATTTGGTGCATGGGTGGTAATCTCATCCTATGGGTGAACCGTGTAAGGTCAACTGACAGGCCTGCACACTGTATTTTCATTTTGGCAAAATGATAAAAGTGAAATATCCAGATAGATATAAGCATGTTTTCAACATAGAAGGTATAATCTTCCCCCACATGTTGATAATTGATGGTTTTTAATGGATGAAGCAGGATAAGAGTACTTGGAGAGTACCAGTGACGTCCTAATTACTGTAATTACTCTACTGTACATAACATAGCCTATTTGCAATGCAATATCAATGTTCCAATGAGTTATGAGATGTCTAGGCAGGTCTATCTTTTAATGTAAGGCACAATCATTTTTATTTTCAGTTTCTAAAGAAAGAAATGCATAGAAATCAATGAATGAGTGTGTATGTGTGAATGTCATTATCCAGCAATAGCCAACTCTGAAAACTCAAAAATCTGTCTTGTCTTTTACTGACTGAATAAATCTGTTTATCAAACTATTTTAACAAATTAATATGCCATTATTTTGTGTATTTCTGCAGGTCATTATTTATATGTATTTCACGACCAGGCTAGACTTGTTTGGACCAGCCTTTAGCTTAATGTGTACAGCCTACAGAGAGGTTGAAATACGTCACTTTAGGTTCTGAGTCATGCAAGCAAACGCAATTACAAGTTAAAACAGAAAACTTAGGAGCTGAAAAATCATAGCAAACCTTCTATTATGAGTATATGAAACCCAAATAGTCATTGTAGGAAATGCTTCGCCTGTAAACAAACTGCCTTACATCACCTGAACATGGTATGTTTTTATTTATTTATTTATTTATTGTAACTAGAAAAATATAACTGGATGTATGTTGTTAATGAATGTAAATGCCTTTAAGGGTTGTCAGGCTATTTGTGGTCCAGCCAGCTAATCAATGAAACGCGACGCAAAGCAGTCAGAGGGCGACGAGTCGGCCAACCATGTCGCCGTCATGGTTGAAAATGGCCAAAATAAAACCAAAAACTTTATAGTTTACTCACGGCAGCTGTCTAAGCTGGAACAGATCATCGTCCATTTTGGTGTTCATCGGCTGACGCTCCTTTTGGCCTCATCGCCGTTCACATTATCACGACGAGCAGAGATTTCAGCACCGAGGAGAGCGACCTGCCCCGTGTCCGTCGGCAGCCAATGAGAAAACGCCCTGTGCGAACATGAGACACAAAGAGAAGGAGAAAGATCTGAGCCTACATGTCTGTGTGGTCAGCACAAGACTTGTCAACGCTCACACCAACACTTGATGAGTGATGGGACTTGCAGCTCAGGGACATACAGCGTAATCCGATTCTTCAGAATAGTAGACTAGTGTTGTGTTTATTAACGTGTCCAATAGACTCTCGTTTTTGTGCCAAAAACTGCCCGATAGGTTAGAGATAAAAGTACTATGCAAAGTCATAAAATCAAATGTAAGATAAACTAAATTAAGGTTCGTACATGACAATAATTTAAACAGTTAAAATAAATACAGCAATTAAATGAAGACATTTTAGATCTTAAAAAGAGATACGATTTTTTGTTATCAGAGGATTCAGTAGTTCTATTTAAATTCTTTAAGGGATAAAGAGGTAAGACATATACATATTTGTCCAATAGTATTTATATTTAGGGTGTTAACTTGTTTATTTTATGTTGCCAAACCGTCCATGAGTGAGGGCAAAACTAAAAATAAATATAGCAATGTTTCAGTCCTACTTTAAAGAAGGGAAAATGTGTTAAGTGAAGAAACTCTAGACACATATTTCACAGATTCATGCATCCAGCCATAAACTCATAGGCCTCTATATTGCGCAACAAACATTTTGGTGGTCGGAGCATGTCAGTCGTGAGCACACCGGTACGCTCTTTCGGTAAGTCCGTCCTAAAACACGTCACCAGAGATCGGAGTTCCGTCATGAAAGCAGAATGTTGTGGTTCAGACCAGATAACTCTGATAAGCTTGTTGGGGAGTTCCTTGGTACTGGACCAGTAGTCAGGTAAAACATCTCCACCTGGCAAAAAACAGTTTAAGATTATGTATAATGCACCTAGTCTTGTGTGATGTGGGTCACGTCGTCGCCGTACGTTGGACTCAAAGTACAATATGCGTAGGTAGAGAACGACAGAGGCGTCCGGTTGCTAAGCCTGCTAACGGGGTTACCGAGTTATGAGAAATTTCACATACCTATATTTGCAGACACAGTAGAGAGGGCGATCTGACCTCGGTGTTGTCGGTACGTTAGCATAAACACTAGCTAGCTAAAGCTAGCCCCTCTGCGGTAAGCTAACCAAAGGTAGCGTGAGGTTGTTACTATCACTAACGAGATACGTTAGCCTATATCGGTCATATTTCACGCACTTCGAAGCTTGGTAACTGGGCTACTAACGGACTAAAGTTTGTTGAGAGAGGGTTTGTTTTGCTTGATGTGCTCAAGTTGCGTTGGGTCCTGTTTTTAACACTGGTAAACAACCTGGATCAGGGGTCAAAGATCATGTCACTGTACCCGGATTAAACTTTTAGGGAATTCCTGGGCATAAATGTATTTTGGAGCCCTATTGACCCAGTATATACATGGAAGTTATAGTATTTCCTCAGGCAGCCAGCGTGCTACACTTAAACGGACCAGTTAATTAGTCAAATAGTTGACTGAAGTAATTGGAAAATAATTTGTGCAGCTGCAGCTTTATGGTTCTCCTAAGATGGAATAATAAATTACTACCTTGCTGGAGATTTTGTGTATGTTTCGCTTTGCCTTAACAACTTATTATCCAAATAAATTAAAATAACCAAGTGCTTAAAAGTACAAAATAGGAACCTATCTGTATGTTGTTGTCTCTACCACAAATGAACTTACTGTCAGTTATACATGTCATTGTTTTTTTTATTCCCTTCACCCGGTCTTCAGTTTTGCTTTGTTAACATAATGTTGATTTTTCAGAAACAAGATGATAAAAAACTGGGGTGTCATCGGTGGGATAGCTGCTGCAATTGCAGCTGGAGTCTATGTTTTGTGGGGCCCAATTACAGAAAGAAAGAGGAGAAAGAGAGGTAAATATCAGTATGACAATGGAATACACTGATTATATTGTGTGTTAAAATGCAGTGACTTACAATAACTTGTTTCCCTGCAGGCATGGTTCCAGGTCTGGTGAACTTAGGCAACACATGCTTCCTGAACTCTCTGCTTCAGGGTCTAGCAGCATGTCCATCCTTTATAAGGTGGTTAGAGAAATTTTCAGGTTTGCCTGTGATCCAGTCATGCAAAGACAACCAGCTGTCGACAATGCTGCTGCAATTTCTCAAAGGTATGTAAAGCCAATCTGTCATATGAGTGACTAGAGCATTGTGAACATGTAGTGTTCTTCCATGTGTTTGACCCGGAGGTTGTGTCTGCACTGACAGCTCTGTCCAGTGATGAGCTTGGGGAGGAAGATGTCCTTGATGCCAGCTGCCTCCTGGATGTTCTCAGACTGTACCGGTGGCACATCAGTTCATTTGAAGAGCAGGTTGGTCAATAATGCTGTCAGGTGGTATTATGTTTTGAAATCTCTGTATATAATGTATGGTGCAGTGTTTAATTAAAGTCTTAACAGTTGCCTGTTTGTGTCGTTTCACCCACTTTTCAGGATGCACATGAACTTTTTCATGTCCTCACTTCTTCTCTGGAGGAGGAACGGGATCGTCAACCCAACGTCACTCATTTGTTTGACATCCAGTCACTCGAGGCAACTTATCATCTCCCTACTTACACTGCCCCTAAACATGCAAACAGACCTCTGCAGTTTAGTTCAGCACTTTGGGGCATATGCAGTCTGGAGGTTTTTGGACCATTTTAACCCAAACTATACCTCCTACATTTTTTAAAAACCTCAGCCACTCTGAATATCTTAACCTTAGCGAGTGTTGTAGAAGTGTCAAAAATGAAAAATCTGGTGCTGCACCCCCAGTTATTATGTGTATGTGTTTATTTTATACCAGAGGCTCTCTGATCAAGATGAGGAAACAGTGACCTGCATAAGTCGAGGTAAGAAGACAGGAATTATGGAGCCTAGAATATCAAACCACATAGAAATATATTTAATCTGTCTTCATGTTGATTTTTGCAGCCCCTCTACATCCAATACCAAGCCCTTGGAAGTTTCAGCATCCTTTTCATGGGCGCTTAACAAGCAACATGGCATGCAAGCACTGTGAACAACAAGTGAGTTAGTTTTTTGACAGAGACTAACAACTCACTTTATGCGAATTGATTTTTTTTTTTTAACCTTCTCGAGGTGGTGTGTACCTGCTTTGCTTTTTTATAGAGTCCAGTGCGGTATGACTCATTTGAGAGCCTCTCCCTGTCCATCCCTTTACCTCAGTGGGTACGTTAAAGGGAATATGCGTATTTATACTTATTATAATATCACTGTTTAGTATACTTTTTTTGGTTCTCTGTGCCTTAATTCTGTATTTGTTCTCAGGGTCGACCAATCTCTCTAGATCAGTGTCTTCAGCATTTTATCTCCTCAGAAACCATCAAAGAAGTGGAGTGTGAAAACTGCACAAAGGTACTTTCACTACACATTTTTTAAAGTATGTAATTCACCAAAGACAAAAAAAAAACCCTAATGACAAAATTAGCACCAAGGTACCCTCCATTTGCATTCATGTGACTTTCTGTTTTGCATCATTTCTCCACAGCTTCAGCAAGGGACCACAATAAACGGGCAAGTTCCCGAAAACCAGAGGACAACATTTGTTAAACAGCTAAAACTGGGAAAGGTAACTGTCATTTATGTTTATAATTCCACTATAACCTAAGATGTTAATAGTTAAAAAAATCTGTACATAGCCAAAGCTTGTTTTTGCCCAGTTTAGGTAGAGAAATGTAACAGTTGAACATCACTCTGGGTACAGTGGATCACAACTTCCATTTATTTTTTAAGGACAGATGGTCTAAAATTTTATGCATTCTTTTGTTCTTTTAGAAAAACTTGTCTTGATCTGTTTTCCTCCCTCTACTAGCTCCCCCAGTGTCTCTGCATCCACTTACAAAGACTGACATGGTCCAGTGAAGGAACCCCTATAAAAAGACAGGAGCATGTGCAGTTCACAGAGTATCTGTCAATGGACCGCTACAAACACAACACCTCCACACAGAGGAGTCAGCGGATCAGATGTGCTCCAAAGCCCGTAAAGGTGGAATATTCAAATGATGCCATGGAAAAGCCCACAGCCAATGGCACAGGTGTGTTAGACATATCAACTCTGTAGTGTCATTCTGCCTTACATTCAGATTGGGTTTTTCATCATGCATCATCCATTTGTTGTTTTGTTTTCTAGATGTAGAGCATCACAACAACAACAAACCTTTTTCCAATGGGACCTGTTCGTCTGTATTTCTTCACTCTTCTGGTGTGAACTCCCAGCTCAGCTTCACATATGACTACAGGTAAACTTAACAAGATCAGTTTATGAAGGTGCAGTATATCAAGCTATTCAGTGTTGTGGTGGAAATCAAAACCCTTCTTTAGTTTTTAGACTGATCTGAGAAGAGTCTCCTCAAAAGCTTGAGTCGGCTCTGTCGCAGTGTTTCCTAATTTATTAAACTGTCAGTCTTTCTGTTTCACCTAGTGCTGCTAAAGCCTTTAGGCTCAGGTGAGACCTGTGTTAAAAGTGATACAGAAATGTTAGGTCTGCCCTAGTAAGACTGCCACTGTGACCTTTACTTAAATGTGACCAGGACATAAGGGTATCATGTTAAAACATCTAAAGTAAAGTGAGAAGATAGCTCAAATTCATGAGTCTGTTCATCCCTCCAGCAGAGTTCAAAGACTTGGTGGAACTATGCCAAGTATTGCTGAAAATTCTGTTTGTTTATGGTCGCTCAGGACATTACTAGAAACATTTTGGCTTTTCCTTTAATTCAATATTTGACTTGCCTTTTTTCATGTATGTTTTGTTGTAATGTCTTTCCTTCCAGCTCTACAGAGTACCTTTTCCAGCTTATGGCGGTGTTGATTCACCACGGTGACATGCACTCGGGACATTTCGTCACATATCGCCGCAGTCCTTCCTCAGCTCGCAGCTCCTCACCCTTCAGCTCCCAGTGGCTTTGGGTTTCAGACGATTCTGTACGAAAAGCCAGTCTGCACGAGGTGCTGTCTTCCAATGCTTACATGCTCTTCTACGAGAGAGTCCAAAGGCTGAACCACAGTCTGTTTTTGATGAGTAACCAGGAACTTGCAACCTCGCAGTCGGACTGACTTCTGCCTTTTCAGTCATACTGTCACAGCTGTATGTGCCAGTTACAAAGTGGTTATCAACAGGTGGATTATGACTTTCTGACAATGAGACCAGGAGGAAAGCCATGTTGGAGGTATTTTAGAGATACTTTTGCATTATGGATCACAGCAACATGTTAAGGACACTTTGACAGCTGCTCTAATCCACAAGAGGAGACTCTTAGTCCCAAAGATTACAGACCTGCAGTTTTCAGACAAATATCTTTGATCACATACTATTTTTCAATGACACATGTAACAATTTGTTATTTATATCTTAGCTTCTATCTGACAAAAAAACAGGAATACCTGACATTATAGTGAATTTTAAGGTAATAACCCTGCAGTACATTGTTAATAACTTTAAACTTATACTGTTTTTGTTAAAGCTGTCAGAGGTGTTGACCTGGTTCTGTGGCAGTTTTTTGATTCTGTTGCTAGTGTTACTTGAATGCAGTGTACTTTAAGGTGTTCCTGTTATTTTGTCCACTAACGGTACATTTACAGACACAGATGGAACGTAGCTGATAAGGACTTCTCGGAGGTGTTACATATTATGAAAAGTCACATAGGTAGAATTTTCCTTCTGGTTCTCTGTTGCCTAGTCATTGCCAGCAGTCCATGTAAACTGCACTGAAAACAATATTTCAAATCATTCTACTCATAAGCTGTCGAATTTGAGATTTTTGTGTCTTTCCACTAATCCTTATACTGTCTTGATTTGCAGAGCTGCACGGTTGAGGTTAAAGTGCCATGTTGTCTTTAATGCTCAAGTTTTTAACACAATAAACCCTTTGTGCTACAACTATTGTGAGCATACAACAAGGACTTTTCCAGAAAATATGATGCACCAGATCCATTTGGCATGGTGTTGATGTTTAACAGATTACTAATGATTTGCTCCCAGTTAATAATACTAGAGGATGACTGCAGGCTTTTGGGCATGTTGTCCTGAGTATTTTTAATACTATGTAACCGACAACTGCCATTTTGCTCCTACTAAACCAATTCAGTCCAATTTAGAAATGGCCTGGGGAAAAACCCCTGGCTAATGTTTGCAATTTGGAAAAATGTGTATTCACACAAGACTTTGTGTATTTGTGCGCAATCTGTAAGATGATTGTTTTCAGGTATTAAATAAATGAAACAAACATGTACTCTAGAGTTTCATTTTTCAAAGAAAGATAATTATTTGCCACATTTCTTTAGACAGAAGCCTAAGCATTTCTGAAATGTCCTTGACTAAAACACAGTTTACTAAACCTAAGAATTTTGTGTAAGCTGACCAAGCATGCAGTCCTCACTAAAGAAATCTTCTCTACAGAGATAAGCAGGACCAAGGGTCCTTAGTGTAAAATAATCTTTAGTCAGATGGAGTTGGCAAACTCCACTGGCTTATAAAGACCAAAAGATGGGGTTGAATGCTCTGACAAAAGCCACTATCAAAAATTTACTTAAATGCTCAAGGACCTCGTGGCAATGCTTCACTTTACCATTCACAGATCTCACTGTAACCATAGGTACAGTAAAATGTCAGCAGGCCTCTTCCACACTACACTTTAAAACCACCCAAAGCTGAGTCTGGCCAATATATAAAAATCTACATTTCAACCAAGCACATTTCAACTTTGATTGTAATTCAAAAAGGGTCTTTTCTTACTTTCTCTTTTTTAAACACATTTGCTCTTTGGAACAGTACACAACCTTCCTCCCAACACAACATAAGTCAAAGGCCTAATGTGTGATCAGCATACAGTGCCCCATTACTTTTTGCTTAGTACAGAGTACATGAACAGTACGTGCCAGTGCGACACAAACAGTGAAATCTAGCCTATGTGGTCTGTTCTCACTGAGAACCTGTAATTTTTCAGAACTTTGGGCCAATTTTTTAAAGTACTGATTCACTGAAAATGTGCTCCAGAGTCCCAGCTGCCAGTCCTTACCTTGCCAATAATCACTCAGATTCAGTCGCTTTTAGATTTGTGATATTTGTCCTAGCACCCACGGACGTCCAGCCGCTATGGTCCTTGGCTACCATTCAGCCCATAGTCTGGTTTCTTGGGCACTTGCTCCACTGGCCCTGTTGATAATCCATGTCTGGCCATGGCTACCTCTTGTTTCTTATTGTCCAGTAGGATGCGTCTAAAAGTGAGGTTAATACGAGGCAAGAGGACCTTCTTGCGCACAGGAAGGCTGTGGTACCAGAAAGTGTTGGTTGGTTGGTTCATTAGGAGCAGACTTCCATGAGTGAGCTCCAGCTTCACAGGTTCGATCTTTCGGCAGCTCTGTTTTCCCCGAGCATCTCTGTGCCTGAAGATGAAGTCTCGTGCTGCTCCCAGAGAGACAGAAGCAATGGGACAGAGGGGGTCCAGCTCCTTCTCGTCATCACGGTGCTCACCTATATGATCCTGACCATCTTTGTACCTGGCGGAGAGAAGAACACATTCATCAGGGAGTACAAATATCAAACTGTAATCTTTACAACTTGTATACCAATATTTCTCACCTGTTCACCAAGACAAAGTTAAATGTCTGTCCTGTTGTTTTTGTAACAACATCCCGAATGTATTCCAAGGTTGGAGTCCACAGGCAGGCTGAACGTGTCACCCCAGAATAAGTGTAGGTTAAACCTGCATCTCCATATGTTGCCTGCTGTCTTGGTATATTGTACACCTTTCCAAACACCTGGACCTTTGCTTCTTCTCCTGGAACAAAATAGCCACAACTGTTCACCTACACTGCAGCCAATGATCATAATTTTACTGAATTGTTGATGTTGTACCTGTTGAGTACACCATCTCCTCCTCTAGCTGTTTAAAAAGGCGATCTGCTTCCTCTTTGGAGAAGAGTAAAGCATAATCAACATCTAGTCCTTCTGCTTCTATTTTTTGCCAGGGAACAGGATGAGAAAACTCTGCTAAAGCTGCATCCTCATCTTCGTCAACCTCCTCTTCCTTCATCTTCTCATCTATCCTCAGTTTAGTCTTCTTTCTTGGACTTGTACGAATGTCATCAGTGCAGGAGCATCTATTCTGTCCCCGAATAACAAACTTTTCCATCAGCTATGGCACTCTGAGGAGCTTACTTTTAGCATTTGTAAGATCTATAGATAAAAATAATAAGAGTAAAACATTAAGACAGAATTTTTTTAAGATATAATGGAAAAAGTAATTTCAGTGTTGGTCTGCAGATTGGTTCACTATACTGTATTTCTTCACGTTTAAAATTTTTGAATCTAAATTTGTTATATTTTGTTAAATTCAATATCTTTCAATAAAAAGTAGTGCAACTAACAATCTATTGGGTAGGCTATTGTCTTGACTAGTTAATCGTTTTGTCTGTAAAACGCTGGAAAATAGTGAAAATGAGTTCAAAATATACATATGTTCAGTGTGAGACAAAGAAAAGCTGCAAATTCTCACGAAGAGCCTGGAACCAGAAAGTGGGCACGCTTACTTGAAAAATTACAAATGATTATCATTAAAATAGCTGACATTAAAATTCCTGTTCAGTTTGTTTTAGCTCTATAAAACAGTGTACACAACAGCAGAGACTTTGAAATTATGACAAAAATACGTCTTCATAACTATAAAATCGCGAAGTAGCCTGTAAATTTCTCACATGAAAGCAAGATGCTGCAACCACCACAAACTAGAAAACACCTAGAAGCACGTTGTCTTGAACGCCGCCCCGCTCATTATCATAACTGCTTACGTCACTTTGTTTTAGCGGGAAAGCTTTAAACTGAGTGAGGAGGGTATAAAGAAGTCTGTTGCTGCTTTTCTCTCATATTAGCCACTTAATTAATACACTGCAGTTTGCTGCCAACGTGTTTCTCAACAAGATGATCGGACAGAAAACTATTCATTCATTTTTTTCGCCAGTCCCCAAGAAGAGGATTTCTAAGGAGTTAAATGAAACCGAGGAGGATGCCAATGACCCGGTGAGCACCACTTCTGTTTTACAAAAATTAGTCAGCTAACGTTTCCCACGGCTAACTTTCAATATAAAGTCGTAAAGTTATTTATATTGAAACTCTACTTAGCGTGTACTCACACGCGTGTACAACCCACACGCCTTACCAGTTGGTGGTGGTAATGCACCGATTTGTTGTTTGCCAGTCGCCATATACACAAAGAAGGAGCGTTTCCCGCGACACGTTCACGTGTCCCAGGTTGCGTTCACGTCCACCGCTGTTCTTGATTGTTGTTGTGGTGCTCAGACCCGCCGCAGGAGAATGTTTACGCTGCACTATCGACTGTTTCTAAAGCCACTTTCTCCTCCAGCTGCACGCTTCTTACCAGCTCTTTCTTTTGCTCAATACACTAAAATTGTGCAGAAGAAGCTAAAGTCCTCGGCGGTGCAGTCAGAGGCGTCTAGCCCTCCGCTGTCCCCCGAGCAGCTGGACAGGATCGCCCGCAACAAGAGAGCTGCTCTAGAGAGACTCACATCCGCTCAGACGCCTCCGGGGTTTGGGGAGAGCTGGAAAAGGGGACTGTCGGCTGAGTTCCGAAAGCCCTATTTTAAACAAGTGAGAGTACAAATCATCACGCTGCCCATGGTGTTACCGTGTTATTCTGAGTACTTTTAATAACTTCATATCTTTGTCACAGTTGATGAATTATT